TTTATTTTTTTAAAATAATGTCACATCATCATTTTTAATAGAAGTTAAATAGTTCTGTCACTTTTTTTGTCAGAGCAAATTCGGAAGTTAGATCGAGGGTTTACTACAAGAATGAGTCAACATAGCCACAAATTTTGCTACAAGAACAATTTTGTAGCAAATATTAGCTATATACAATTTTGATACTAATTTAGTAAGCAAATTAAGTGTAGCAAATACTTAACTATTGTGAGTAATTTGTTACAAATCTATTACAAACTTAATTTTGTAGCAAATTTGCTTCAAAAATCAATGAAATAATCGTAGAAAATTTTGCTACAAAAGATTGTGAAGATATATGTAACAAAGTTACATGTTCTCACAAAATTGTTGTAACAAATTTAGAGTACGAAAATTGAAAACAAAAATTTGAAATTTTTTTGAATACTGACAAATAGTTACAATGAAAATCGTCACAAATAGACGATTGCTACGAATTATGTTGTAGCAATTTTAATTCAAATAGCTACAACGGTATGTTAGTGGCTTTTTGTGGCAACGTGCTACAATTTGTTTCAACACATAGTCACGGTGGATTATTTGTAGCAAATTCGTAGCAAATAGAAATTTGTTACAAAAAAATTAACATAGCTACAAATAATAGTGTAGCTATATTGCCCAATTCTTGTAGTGGTTTAAAGTGTTCGTTTTCTGGGTTTAAAGGTTTATAATGAGAGTGTAATTCTACCATAATTTAAAGTGCTAGTAAGTCTTATTTTGAAGGTTAAAAATGTGATTTTTCCGATCTCTATATAACGAACGATTATTTATGTAGAATTTAATCAATATATGCTTTGTACTGTGACAATGTAAAAGTACAAAGGTCAGATTGGTGAGCACATTTAAATAGACCGGTTAAAAGTTTTTGAGCGGTTGTACAAAGGGTTGTTTAAAATAAGATAGTTAAAAACAATGGTTAGAAAAAACAGTTAGATAACAAAGAACAGTTCAAATATAAGATTGATTGACAGCATTATAACAATTAAATAATATAATTAGATAAAATTATGTAATAGAATCGTGTGTCTTAACCACCCATTTGTAATGTTCTTTTTCCAATCGTCTATATGTTTTAAATGATCGTTTGATTGGTAGTGATCAAGCGGTTCAACCGCATTACTATACCAACCGATGCAATTAATCTAACCCAAAAGTGATCTG